GGGGGTGCTTTTCACTCCTCCTCATAGTTGGAGCCGACCTGTGACAATGAAACTTTCACACGTCGGCTCAATAGATCGGGAAGTGAGCGAACACATACCGTCGCTCGCTCACTTCTCGATCATATCCCTGCAGAGAGCGGTGACTGTCACTCACGGCTCCCTGCAGGGATTCCCCCCCTCCACTCTCCGATCCTCCAGCACTGACTGGCGGAACAGACGGAGGAGGGGGCGGGCACAGCTGGCTCTGCCTCTAGATAGGTGGAGCCAGCTGTCACTCACGGCTCCCCGCAGGGATTCCCCCCCTTCCTGCTCAGATACTCCAGCGCTGACTGGAGGAACAGACGGAGGAGGGGACGGGCACAGCTGGCTCTGCCTCTAGATAGGCGGAGCCAGCTGTCACTCACGCAGCTGGGCGGATCCAGACAGTAATGTCGGGATCCGTCCCGGCTGCGGCGGTCTCAGTATACCGCGAGCTGTAGCTCCCTATATACTGAGCTTTGGGTCACGGGAGGATGCTAGTATAAGTCCTCACCGTGACCCTAAAGAGAACTATGGGGAAAAACGCTGACCCCATAGTTCTCTTTTAAGGGGAAAAGGGGAAGAAGGAGTTCATTAGGGTTGATTAGGGTAAACGAAGGGTTAATAAGGAGTTACATAGGGAGAGATTTTATTTCTTAAAACATTTTTCCAGGTTGCTGTAACTGACATCGTCTGCAGATTGAAGTCCATTCCTGTGACCTGCAGATGAATGAAACAGAACCGATAGAAATGTAACAATGTTACTCTGCATCTGCTCTATGGATGTCTATCAGGGCCGGCGCACACCTAGGCGATTTATCGCGCAGTTTGATTTTGCGCGATATCGCACAAAACACAGATTCGCATCGGAGTCAATGGAGGCTGTTCACACCTTTGAGGTTTTGTCGAGCGACCGAAATCGCCTGTCGGGCGGTTGTCGCGCGGTTTGGGTCCTATAGACATCTCTATGCATTGAAAAACGCACGACAACCGCTCGGCATCTGAATGGCCTAGGTGTGAACCTAGCCTAAAGCTCTGCGTCAGACGGTCTGATCTTTGACAGCAGCGGCTTCTGCAGCTTCTGTATTTACGCAGCAACTCTCGGCTGTCATTTTGACAGTCAGAAATAGGTGGCAAGTGTGATGGGTATGGGGAGGGGGGGATTGCCACGCAGTATATACAGTGTATTATTTCTGGCTCCTGGCATTGAGGACATTGGCAGGTCTTTGGAACAGGTGCCTTCCTTGGCATCAGTCCTGGTCTGCAGACATGTTGCTCTCTACTAGTGACGGGCTCGAGGCGTGTTCGCAGCTCCACGTGCCGAGCCCGCCAGGAAGCTGACAGCACCAATCACAGGTACTGAGACATGTTACCGGTCCGCAGCTGCAGAGATCGGGAAATGTCTCCTGTGATTGGCGCTGCGGCGCTGTCAGCTTCCCGGCGGGCTCGGCACGTGGACCTGCGAACACGCCCGAGCCCATCACTACTCACTACACCGTAAAGTGCAGACAGGCTGAATGTAAACAAAGCAATGCTGGTCACGGGCTTTACTGTCAGCTCTCGAAGCCGGGAGATAGACAGTGAAAGGTTCTGTTATATCGTCATGTGACTTTGGTTTCCCAGAACATACTAAAAACATACTAAAAAGTTTAATGTTTAAAGTACAACTTTCGCTCGACAAAAGCCCGTGTGTTTGCCCCGGGCCCCCCCGAGACATGGTAAGGGGGCCCCATGAGGTACCTGAAGATTCTTGGTGGTTGTTAACATGTGAACCATAGTGGGCCAAAGGTCACCCAAAGGACCACACATAACATTTGGGGTCCTAGAGCCACATGGCTGAATGTGGCCCTTGGTTGGCAGGTTGGGCCCCCAGGGACTTGAAGGATGCGCTCTTTTTATCAAACCCATATCCTCTTAAACACTCTGAGGAGGTGACGGAACATCAGGAGAGGGTTGGGGGTCATGTTGGGGATTCGCGAGCGAGCACCTACCTCCTCCTTATTCTCATCCTCCAACTCGGCGTCCAGGAAGTCCAGAGTCACCGGCTCCTGGAAGCTGATGACCTGAAAACATGGGAGGAAACACCCCGAATTATTATGATGGCGGATCATACAGATACACCCAGCCCACTGTCCCCGATTCGTCAGTCCCCCCGTCCCGGTCCTCTGTCCCGGGGCCACGTCCCGGGATTCCCGGCACCAACCTTCTACGAGGCACACGCGCGCTCATTGCGGGGATCAGGGCTGCGAGTGGGCGGTCCCCGCATATTAACGAACCATAAGTTGGACGTGATAGGAGGTCTCTACATAGAGGCGGGGTTTGGGGGGAGCGGCCCGTGAAAAGTGGTCATGACCTAGGCGCAGCCACCTGCAAAGTGGGCGGATGAAATGCGTGTTGTGGGCGGGGTTAGCAGCGGATCCAGGACTACAATGTTTGTAAGTACGCAATCAGGTAAATTAAGAAAAGGGGCGTGTCCTGCGTGTTGTGATTGGATGTCTGAAGTGATCACAGGTTCTCTTAAAAGAATATTTGATGGAGAACGACCCAAAAACTTCTACCACAGAGGAGGAATCTTACCTGCGGCTTCAGGTTTGGGTGGAGCAGAACATATCCGTTCAGGTCGATGGCAAACATGTATCCATTGGCACCCAACTGCAAGAGGAAAACATGTTACATATCACCACACCGCGCTTCGTTCCCCGCGGAGAGGACAACAAAAATGCCGCGTTCACCGCTTTTCCATCAAGATGACATTTCCTTATTTTATACCCAATGATGTCATCACTGGGCCTCTGTGATTCGCAGTGCAGATCATGGCTGGTGGGAGGGGCCAGCATAGCTTCCTGAAAACAGTGGGCGGGCTCTTGGGAGGAGTTATGCAAATATAAAACTCAGGACTCCAAAAAGATGTCCTGAGGATCGCTGGAAGTGAGGCGCTGGTTTCGGATCCCCAATAGATAATGGGGGGGGGGCCCTTATAAGGTCAATGCCTCTGTCCCCAACCCCATG